GAAATGAGATTCTTTTATAAGGTTATGAATTTTTCAACCACTCATCAAAGTGATCGAAAATACCTATTACCTTAACCGATTTTTGACTACTTTTTGAAAACCACCAACTAGGTTTGAAAATTTGAAAATTTTCAAAAGTTTTGTTGACTTTGTTTGGTGTTGGGAATTCTGGACAGAAATTGCAAATTTGTCAATAACTATGAATGGATATGCAATTGTATTATGTATTGCAATAGCATTGTCAAATATATGCATATAGTATATGTTGAAAATAAAACATATTGAGAAGCATAGTGTACAAGAAGAAAGGTAAATAGTGTGGGGCTTCATTTATTTTGATTGTGACAAAAGAATGAATGAATAGTGTAGGTACATTTTACCAGTATGCATTATGTTGACTAGAATTGAAGATTTGATATGAAAATGTGTAATCCTAAGAAAATCAAATCAGCCAAGATAGATGCAACACCAAAAGAGCATTTTTCTACTAGCACCTAGCTATAGGCTAGCTATATTTTCACCACATATACATGATGTATAGGGAAAAAAACACTATTATTAATTGAGAGGCTTTGCTTTAGGAAAAAACACTATTATTAGTAGTTGAGAGGCTTTACTTTGTATCTGCTCACAACTCAATTGGCCAATTAACTCAAAATAAATTAAGAGATTTTGTTATGCTAGCAACCGCAAGTAAAGATGTATGAATTTGACTTGTATTTGGGAACAAGTAAACGGTAGACCAGTTGAAGCATATTGAATTCTTGGATTGACAACCTCTCATCAAAGAATGAACAGTGAATATAATAGTTTCATCTACCAAATTTTACAATAAGTTAGTCTTATATTAGTAAATAACAGAAAATATATACTTTTCTTATATAAAATTTTGTAATCAAAATGACAATGTTATTTATACTTTATAACTGTAATATGTTAATCATTTACTGATAGTGACTCAATGGATCAGCAGACAGTGCCAAATGTTGGTGCGCACAAAGGATTTGTTCATTTTGAACAGAATCATATCCTCACACTGTAGTTAGCGAAGTTTGAACTTTGATCTCTTCTCTCAAATACCGTCTACTGAACTAGTGAATTAAACCTGTGCAATCACCATTAAAAAAAAAAAAAAATTAATTCAATCAAAGGTTTGTCAAGTCTAATAACACTATTCATATCACCTACTATACATTTAAAATTCTACCAAAACGACAAAATTAAATGACATTGCTGACCAGGACTATGTGGTCCAATGGTACCCGGGTTGGACTTCCATTTGGAAGGTTGTAAGTTCGAGCCTCAGTGGAGGCGTTATTAGCTCTTTGTGTTTCAGTAGGTTGAGAAAGTATATGAACAGATACTACAATGTAATAGAGCTAGTAGCATTCAAAAGAAAAAAAAAAATGACATTGCCGAAGCCAATAGTCCAATAACATTATAATATAGTGGTATAGTTAACTTTAATTAAGAGTTGTCATTAGAAATCTTGTGATAAATTTTACGGGGAAAAAATAATAATAAGAAGAAGAAATTGCAGTAATAGATTCAATGGAATAACTAAAAACGTGTCATTTCTAAGCTCTATATCCCTAAGCAATCATAAATTCAGGCTCAACCAACCCTATATATGCACTTTTATTTGACACGTGCCTTTGTCAATCAGGTTTAAGTCTGAACTCCTAGTTAAAATACAAAAAAGCATTCAAACCTATGTAGGAAAAAAATAATAATAACACGTTCAATTCTTGTTATCGATTCCGGTTCGAGCCTGTAACATATGATGTTTTTAGTGTTGTTTACATTTTTTTGTCTACTTTAAAAAATGTTTTAAGATCAAAAGATTAAAATTCGCTCTAATTTTGCCTAATAGTTTGAGAAAATGTTTTGTTCCATTGAATTGAACACAGATGTCGTATGAAAAAAAAAAAAAAAAAACAAAAAACAAAAAAAAAAAACAAAACAAAACAAAAAAAAAAAAAAAAACATTTTAATTTCACTTTTGGGATTTATTTATTTATTTTATTACGAGAGAAATCCGTAGGTATTATTTGAGGGTGTGCACTAGAGATGATCATGATTTGGTTTGTACCCATGGATTCAAATCAAATCTTCAAATCAAATCGGACACTGTAGCAAGTCCAACTGAAGCAAAATCGAATCAGTATGGACGGTTTTGGTTTATTGAAATCAGGAACAAGAACCACCAGTTCCGGCTCGAAACTCGGTTTCGATTCTGAATCCAAAAAAAGAAAAAATTATTATTATTGAATTTCAATTATTTTATAAATAGGATGGAAAAAAAAAAAAGTTAAACCGGAACCACTGGTTTAGGAATCGAGAACTGGCGATTTAAAATTGAAATTGAACGGTGATCATATTTAGTATGTATTTAGTAAATTCCACCTTTTGAAATTTAAAATTTTAAGTGAAGTAGTGAGGTGTCTATATTAGGCAAACTAATTAATTTAACTGAAATTTCATGTTTTGTTGTTAATCAAGTTAGAGGTCGGTCCAGTACAAGTCCGATTCTACGGCAAAAATAAAAAATAAAATTATAAAATTGTGCACTGCATCTAACTTTTGTACCTTCGGCATTTCCACTGTTTTTTTTTTTTTTTTTTAAATTCAATTAATTGTACAAGTCTCAAATTGCAATGGTGCAGTAATGCATCATATATAAAACATCATGAATTATATTGGTTAAAAAATAAAGTACTATTTTGTCAATAGTGGAACCATTAAAGTTAATGTTTGTTAGCCCACTAAAAATAGTAATTTACTTTCCACAATCTGATTCAAGTCTAACATTTAAACACTCAAACTCTAGTTAAACTATGACCTTGTTTGGTAAAATAGTTAATCCGATCAATTTTGGTTTATTTGATCACTATTATTTAACCAATATAAGTATTTGATTAATTAACTTTTTGTAACAATTTATTATTTTAAAATGCTAAAATTAAAAAGGCTGCTCAAAATAGTTTTTTTGATAAATTTTTTGAGAGTCATTTTGCATGTAATCAGTATATATGTGCAATCCAACTATTAGCTTAGGCTTTTAGTTGAGATGTAGCACATGTTTCAATTTGGTATCAAATCTCTACGTCACCCGATAAGCGATTACGGTCCACGTGTTGCTTAGAACCCACCGCACACGTGAGGAGACGTGTTGAGCATATAATCATTAATGTGCAATCTAACTATTAGGCTTTTATTTACCAAACATCATTGTCTAAATGCATTGAAAAGAATTTCAATGGAACCAAAGAATGATCAAAGAATGAATTAATAATAGAGGAAATTAATTAGAGATAGTACGTAATTTCATTATGAATCCTAAGGTTGCATAGAGATGGTGACAGAACCAATAATAGAAACAAAATCTAAAACTTCATTTAAGTAAAAGATAAAATTATGTCAAATTATTAGTTAATGACTAGATTAAAAGAACTATCAATCTTTAACTAAATAAAAAATTAACTCATTTGTAATAAGTGCTCCATTTAGTATACATTAACTACTTTTTAAAAAGGATGATATGATATATTATTTTTATATGTACATTTGAATGGTTAAGGAATGATAATTCAATGATAAACTTCCACATAAAACTATAGGGTTTAAATCATTTTATTATAAAGTTTTTTATTGATTGATATGAGATTATTATAAGTTATTACCAAAAGAAATTTCAATACCTCAAATCTTTTGTTAGGGACAACGACAATTAAACTAGTGTTTTCCCTTAAACATGAACAAGAGCACGTATAAAGACGAAATAGAAAGTAACAATATACGTTTCATAGAATTGACAACGGTGGTTGAGTGTTAACATTTCTTAACGCTCAATACTACACATTAAAATCATAGCACACAAGGAAATAGATACTTTGAATATATGAGATATTGATTCAAGAGATAATATGCGAAATCAAGAACTAACAACTAATAAATGATTAAAACAAGCTACTCAACCAACTAGTTGGGCAAATGGTGATATAATGAATGAGTAATCCCGGAGAGAGTCTATCCATACAAAGTAATAGGCTTTATACTAAAGTCAACGGATACAATTGTACAACAATATTGATGTGATAAATTTCACCGCGTATGTGTATTTGTATTTCGTAATGAGTATTTGGATATATCGACAAAAAAAAATTGGAGGTAATGACTCAGATAGCTAAGACCAGATACCGGACGTTCCCGAGCCAATGTCTATTAGAGATGGACCAAAAGCCCCTCTTACAAGCATCTAGCAGGGTATTTATAGGAGATATGAAGGGACACATGTCGGGAGGTCGACATGTACGCCACGTGTCCGCCATGCACTCGGCAGGCTTAGAGGCCAAGAAGAAGATGTCCACGCGTCGAAGGATATCTGATGAACCAATGACCATTTGGCTCGACTTAAGCATCTGTGTCGAAGCTCGCCTCTGATGGCTAAGTAAATGGGCTCGGGGTACCAAGCCGATAATCCAAGTCGGGATCGAGTATAAAAGCTGAAAGCAGAAGCTCACTAAGTCAATTGGCTAGCTAATTCTCAAGTCGGGTCGGTCAGGTACTCTCCTCAGACGAACCAGGTCGAAAATGGACCTACGCTACTTAAAGAGTCGGATTCGAACCGGGGTTAGTTCATACGGGTCAATATATGGGAGTATATTTCTTATCAGATATGTAATTTGTTAAATTCTTAAAGTTAGAGATTCTAAGAAAGCTCTAACTATTTACTTTGAAGTGGTCGAAAATTACCTATTTGTGATTTTTATCATTACATACTCCCTCAATCAGAAGTGAAGTACCAAATCATATAGTTCCATTATATTATCCCAAGGAACTATACTAATCCCAACTTCATCCTCATAGCCTTAAATCTTTATTTGGAGAATTTATTTATTTTAGTTGTCATTTTCTATAATGTATTTATATCATCTCTGTGTGTATTGCCCATTACCCCATAAATCCATATAAACCCCAAAGCCAATCCAGTCTCTTTCTCTTACACTCTCAGAGAGAAACAAATAGCCTTGAGAAAGAGAAGCGAATCCTTTCCTTAACCTTCACGCCTCGCCATTAACTCCCTCTGTGTTTCTATGCATTGAAGTTTTCCGTTTCCCAACCCCCTCCCCTTCCTCTTTATATGCGTCCCATTCCCACACTCTCTTCTTTGAACAGAGGAAAACAGAGTGCAAAAACAGGGGAATCATTCCCAGAAATCGAAAACACTTAAAAGTTAAAACCCCTTTCTTCTTTTTCTTAGCTTCTTTGTTTAATGGGTTCTTGTAAAGGAGATGATGAAAAGGTGATTGTGGTTGAAGGGCCTATCATTATAGGTGGGGGACCTTCAGGGCTGGCGGTGGCGGCGTGCCTGAAACAGAACGGCGTCGCCGCCGCCGTCATTCTTGAGAGGAGCGATTGCATCGCTTCTCTGTGGCAGCAGAGGACCTATGACCGCCTGAAGCTCCACCTGCCCAAGCAGTTTTGCCAGCTTCCATTGATGAATTTCCCCGGCGACTTCCCGAAATACCCCTCCAAGCGCCAGTTCATCTCCTACATGGAGGCCTACGCCGACCACTTCGACATCCGGCCAAAGTTCAAGCAGGCCGTGCGCCGCGCCGAGTACGACGCCGCCGCCGGCGTTTGGCGAGTCGACACCGCCGACTCCCGCTACTCCTCGCGGTGGCTGGTGGTGGCCACCGGCGAGAATGCCGAGCCTCTCGTCCCCGATATTCCCGGCATCCGGCGATTCTCCGGCCCCGTTATGCACACCAGCCTCTACCGCTCCGGGTCGGAGTTCCGGAATCAGAGAGTTTTGGTGGTGGGGTGTGGGAATTCCGGCATGGAAGTTTCCTTAGACTTGTGTAGGCACAATGCCAGTCCTCACATGGTGGTCAGAAACTCTGTAAGTACCACCACTCCAACTACTTTATTTTTTTTTTCTAAAAAAAATAGTAAATTTTAAATTAATTACTAAAAATAATGTCTTATTCAGTACTACTGACTCTGTTACAATGAGTACTTAATTATTTAGGGAAGTTAGAAATTTTGTATGTTGGGTTATACTAGGTTTGTTAATATTGTTGTTGTGCATGTTTTTTGAAACAGGTTCATATTTTACCTAGGGAAATGTTTGGTGTATCAACCTTTACAATAGCCATGGGACTACTTAAATGGCTACCCTTAAGGCTGGTTGACAAGCTCCTTCTCCTTGTGGCCAATTTGACTTTCGGCAAGACGGAACTATTGGGTATCCGACGGCCGAAAACCGGGCCGATCGAGCTCAAAAACGCTACCGGCAAGACCCCAGTCCTCGATGTCGGAGCATTGTCACTAATCAGATTAGAAAAAATTAAGGTATTTTTATAATAACACAATAATTAATTTATCATCAATTATATTAGAATTAGCAAATTATTTAACAATATCATAACGACATAACATAGTAAGCGTCGCGAACATGAGACACAACCACCTTAGTATATGCTAATAATCATTGTTAAACTTTGCAGGTAATGGATGGTGTGAGGGAGATAACTAGGAATGGTGCAAAATTTGTGGATGGACAAGAAAGGGAATTTGATTCCATAATACTAGCAACAGGGTACAAGAGTAATGTTCCAACATGGCTTAAGGTAATATATATACACAGTTATGTACATATGTATGTATGTACGTATATGTGATATTTAAAAAAAAAAAAATATTTTTTGTAATCTTATATCAGTCTCACATCACTTTCGTCTTACACATGCAGTCATAGGCTACAAAACGTTCCTTACACTTCTTGAAACAAAAGAGAAAATCTGTTCTCATTTGTCTGGACTGTTCCTCCTCATCTCTCTTTTCCCTAAAAATAATTTTTGTTGGATTTTGATGATGTGTAACTATCATCAAAATATTCTCTTTTTTTCTCTTTAAATTATTTTTAAAAAAAATAATAAAATAATTAAGTTAAAATAGTAAAGCATACCTAGAAAGTGTTCTTTTTGCTGTTTTCCACATATGTTACTCCTACTGATGCCTATCCACTCAACAGTAATCTCAGTGCTAAAAGTAGGTTTCATATAGGTTCGAACTTCAAAGATGACTCCAATCGCCATAGTTAGGTCCAACATTTCCATCTTCCACCTTATTATATTATTTATTAGGATTTTTAGACTTGCCCAAAACCCAAAATGCAACTTTTTACATAACCATTAGCTAATCATCATGCCATTAGGTACAAAAGTTTGTGATGGCTCATGTCACACTACACATGTTTGACATTTTCTATGTAGTGATAAGAAATCATTATTTTATGGTATGCACCGAATAAATTTCGTTTTGTAATTGTAGTTAGAAAATTAGTCTAAATTATTCATAATTGACTGATTTAAATTAAAAAGGTCAATAAATTACCTTGCTAGATTATAACTTATTCTTTGACTTATGGTGCATGTTCCCATGCATTTATTTAGGATCTTTGACTAATATCTTGTAATTATTGTTCATGCATAAATGAAATCTAGGGCGTATAGTAGGTATCTATAAAAGGGGAACTCTTATTAGCTGAAATTAATAATAATAATAATAATAATAATAATTTTTTCTATAAATAAATTATGTGGTTGATAGTTGGCCACTGGGGTTATCCATATAGGCATCCCCAAAGGAAGTTCACTTGCAACTGCACATGTGTTTTCATACATAGTACTTTGCTAACAGAAGTAGACCATATATATATATGTCATTGCATTGTTTCTAGTACCACAACCTACGTGTAGTTTTATGCTTTTTTATTTTTTCTTTTTGTCGAAAGAAACCCGCAGTCATTATCTGAAACGACTGAAAGTGTGTGTTAGGTAAATCCTGTCTTGTGATCTATAGCTGACCGGCTCAAATCAAGAAAGCTGGGATTATCATTAGTCAATAATTTTATGTTTTTGTTTGTACATAGGTTGATGAACATTGGGTTTTAAAGCTTATTATATAGTCTGATGAGAAAACTGGACCACCACACTTTCACTAAAATGAGACCTTTTTCTCCCTGTGATGGCAGCCATGAAAGTACTCTGATCTGTTTCTGTGATTGTGAAATTTGTAGGGCTGTGATTTCTTCACTGAAGAAGAAGGGATGCCAAAGACACCATTCCCAAATGGGTGGAAAGGAGAGAATGGTCTTTACACTGTTGGGTTTACAAGGAGAGGGCTGCTAGGGACCTCATCTGATGCAATGAACATTGCTAGAGATCTTGCTGAACAATGGAGGCAGGCCAACACAACTTGTACCTCAATCAAGGTAGCCAGAGACTGAACAACCTCATCTCAAACAGTGAACATTGCTTGAGATCTTGATGAACAATGGAGAGAAATGCTAACACAACTTCTACTTCTCAACCAAGGTAGCCAAAGACTGATTTTTTTTTTCTTTTTTGGTTAAGTCCCCAAGGAAAAAAAAAAACAACTAATGGTAGGTTCATAAAGTCAAGGGAATTTTTATTCTTCACTCTTTCCTTACTAAGTAGTGGATAGTGGATGTTCTATGCGAATTTTCGACCTTTTTTCCCCAATTTTCTTCATTTGTAAATATCCAAAATTTTGCATAGGGCTCTACTTGTTCTTATCCTAATGTAACCCCTTTAGGGATGTATTATAAAAAAAAATGTTGGAAATAGAATTTTCCTTTTTTCCCAACAATATTTACTCTACTTGTCTCCTCTTTTGGCTAAGAGATAAAGTTTTTGTTTGTCAATATTAATTCCACTCATCAATGATTCTTGAATTGAGTTGAAGAATGGCTTGAAAATATTTGGATAATATTGGGTAGAAGTCGTTGAAGGATCAAATCTAACAATTGATGGCTAGAAAAATTTTTGGGTGGAAATCGGTGAACGACTAAGTTCAACACTTTATCTCTCGAAAATGTGACGGCATAAGAGAAATAAAGGCCTTGTTTGGTAAAATAATTAGCCTATCAACCAATTTTGTCTCCATTATTAGCCGTTTGACTTGTTAAATAATCCATATAAGTGTTTGATTAATTAACTTTTTGTAACAATTTATTGCTCCAAAATGCTAAAATTCAAAAAGTTGCTCAAAAAAAGCTTTTTCAATCAGCTTTTTGAGAAAATCATTTTGTATGTAATCAGCTAATTTACCAAACACTTTTCTACAATCAGCTTATGATATCAACTAGTCAAACTCACTAACCTAATCAGCTAAAAGCTATCAGCTAACCGTCATTTACCAAACACTTCCAAAGTTATGTCTTTTCTAAGAACTATAGTTTTTGATGTAATGATAAAACATTTGATCCTAACAAATAGTATTAGAGTCAGTGACGGATTGAGCTCATGAGTCATGATCTTGTACACCGTATCATGCATGGATGGCTGCGAAGCATACATTTACCGATGATGCATGCAGTGGAGATTAAATGACAATTTTGACACTAGCTAGCTAGGCCTCATGTGATTGTGACACTTGGTCAGCGGGAGTCAATGCTGGAATCAGAGTGGCATCATCATCATCATCATCATCATGTTAGATTGATTGTTAGGTTAGCTAATGAGTGTAGATAGCTTTATTGCTTTTCGAGATTTATTCATCATACATATATACATACATACATACAAGCTTCTTCCTTTTTAACGTTGTTAGAGCATCATCTTCAATGGTCTGCAACTCTCATCGACTTTTGCCAAACCCGGTTACAGCTTTCTTACTGCCTACATTCTCTACAGTAATCCACTTTTGGCACTTACACGTTTGCACACCAGCAAAAGTATAGTATTCCAATCGAGCCTAGCTCAAGTCAATTAAAAGATGTATTTTGTGATTATCCTTTGATTCCTTTCATATGTACAGATCAGTTACTTTTTACCTGCACGAACTTAGCCCACTGATTCAGTAAGTAGTATTTAGAAGAAAAGATTAAGGTTCGAACCTAGCTCATCAGCAGAGTATGGGATTATGTTCAAAGTTGATAAATCCCTTCTATTTGACCCTATTTTTTGAGTCATTAGATTACTGTGATTTAACCTCTCAAATGTTTTGGGAGCTTTTTTTACTGACTCCGAAAAATATGTGGATAGTAGTCTTCTCATATGATGGATTACTTTTTGACGGTCTCCAAGAAATTGGTTGGATAGTGTGAAGTCTCAACTAATTATACATGCTCAACAAAGTCTAAGTGTGATCTTTTAAAAGTTGTTCAAAATTTGAATCCATACTAGATGGTGTTTTAACTCTTAAAATCCTCACCTAACTAGACTCAATAAAGATGAGGAAATCTTGATATATATTAGTATGGTGTCTCCATTTTGTTAGGAATTATATTACAATATGTTTTATTTAATATTAGAAATCTTTTATATTTGATCTTTGAATTATACCTTAGATATAAACTTAATCTTTTGGTTTTTGTCTCATCTATTTATTTCTGAAGTGACAATTAATGTTATTTTTTTTTAAAATATTTTTATTAGGCTTAGATGAAATATTAATCAAAACAATCTTAAATGACAAAGGTCAATATATTGATTTGATTTCCTCTCCTTGGTTAAACTTCAAGCTATAACCTAGGGTGTAAGGCGAAATCCCTAGTTTCAAATGCTCCACACTTCTATCTTACAATAATTGTTGATGGGTTAAATTACAATGACTCAACGACTCTTTAAACAGAAGGATAGGCACCTAGTGTCCACAAATAGTCATCCTCACCTAAAAGGCCGAAACCCTCACACGGGGATTGTTCATAATTTAATTCAACCTCGCTCCCGTTCTAATCTATTGGCAAATAAGTGTCTGATGATAAGTATTTTGTGATCTGATGACATTTGTCACCTTTCCAAACCAAAGGTCACATGTAATAAAAGCATTCAAAGTTGTTATTATATATATATATATATATATATATATTAATGTAAGTACATTACATATATACCAATACTACCTCCCAGCACCCACCCACCCCAAGACCCCGCCCCTCGTCATTCCTCCTGTCCTGCAACCTCACAACCCCACATGCAAGGTAGAAGTTGGAAGATGAAAGAAGGTCATCACTGACCACCTTTCTTTGTTTCTTTCCATACACACAGTACAGTTAAAAACCCCATTCTCCATACTCTCTCTCTCTCTCTCTCTCTCTCTCTCTCTCTCTCTTCTCTCTTCTCTCTCTCTCTCACGCTGATTATTGAGACAATGATGGGGCTCTGACACCCTATAGTACGAGTACCTTCTCTGTTACATATATATTGACAGCTGCTTACATCTCCCCCCCCCCCCCCCCTCCCCTCCCCTCATCTCTCTCACCCTCCCAAACCATACCCCAACTTCATAACTTCATTTCTCATCCTCGAACTCCATAAAATATATCCCTTCTTGCCCAAATCACACCTGAACTTAACCACTTCATTTCTCATTCTGAAACGCTATAAAACATATATTAAAAAAATATGGGCTAATAAGTATAGGTAGGGGCAATAAATGCAGAGATTGAGCTCAAGAAGTCATACTAAGCTAGGATAGTCTGCCGCCACAATAGAAAAAAGGCCAAAACTTAAATCAATCTGCTGCAGTAGAAGAGATAGATAGATGGAAGTATATATATAATGTAAATGTTGAGATTAACAAAAACAAAAAATAATAATAATAATAGCATAAAAGTAAAGAAAATTCTATTTTTTTTATTCATAGTAATGGTAATGATGACGATACAACACCTAGAAATACAACTAATATATTTATAGACTGTACAATGGTCTACTCAAACTGCTTTACTCATATTCTTTATATGAGAGTCATATTCTTAATCCCTGACAAAAAAAAAAAAAAAAAAAAAGTGAAATTGGGTTGTTTAATTTATAGCTTGCTTGTTTGTGGCTTGTTGCAATGAATATAATGCAGATCGAAATCCCAATCACACGCTTCCCTTGTTCAATTTCTCTTGTTGCACGCGTTACGGTGACGCTGACGTCACTCATTCCCCTATCACCTTGGCGTACAGTGGCAGTACTATGCTACTCTCTGAGTCACTGACCCCTTCCTTCTTTAAATATAATTTTCTTTCTCTCTCTCTCGTCTGGAATTGCATGTATTGTATGTATATATTGCATCGGATTGCACGGTTTTTGTAAGCTCGCTAAGGAATCAAGGAAAGTAATTAAATGTTTACGTACGTTGTTGGTGGGTGTGTGCAGTGGGTCGGCCTCAATCGTTGGTTGATTGATTTGTTTCAATCCGATTTGCATGCTACTGCTGATGAGGCGCTGCATGATATGATGATAATGCAGCATTCATTAGAATTGATGAAGAAATGGTGGTCGTCACTCGCCGCTAGCAGCTGCCTCATTCTCATGCTATGCTACCTTAGCTTCTTTCAAGTTTCAACGTGCACATAATGTACCTTAGTGCCGTGTTGTGCAACCACACCTTATTATCTAATGGTTGAATGTATGTGAGGATTTGCTTAGGTTTACATGCACCCAAACTGCTGGTTTCGCCCTGCCATGGGCTCAATAGTGGAACGATATTAGCTCCCGACAGTACAATTGTGCGTTTCGAATCACCTCGTTCAGTCCCTTTCATAGTCAAGTTCAAGACTAACAACAAGCACCCCGAACTTAACTGAGTCGCATGCCTAACTTTGCCAGAGCTTAGCGTCTAAAGCACAACGATTGACGCTATTATCGCCCCCTACTCGTTTTATGGCAAACTAGCCAGTTAGCTCGTTCATTCATTGAGTCTAACATGGTCACGCAAACAATGCGTGACATTCAGCTCAACAAACTTATAAGGTGTGTCACCATATGTCCATATCATAGAAACTTGAAATCTAGTATAAATAACCTTTCAGCTGCGCTCCAGATCATTTTAGTTCGTCTTATTTCATACATCTCCCTTCACTGCTTGTGCTATTTACACTAGCTACTTGCATATATTCGACCTCTAGAGCTTAACATCCTGGTCTCACTTCTATTCACATTTTATGGGGACTAATTTATAATCATAGTAAAAAACAAATATTATCTATTTTCTCTTGTCATAATGTCAACATATATCTCTAGCCCTATCTTTTTTTTTTTTTAATATCACTACTGTTTTTTTTAATGATTCAAATAATATTGGGTATTAACATTTTATCTACATCCAACCTAAAATTCAGACTATTTTATTTTATAACTATTAGGAATGTTATTAAACAGAGTTTATAATAAAAAATAAGCAGTTAGTTATTGATCCTCCACTCTGCTCCATGTCTTGGCTCGTAGGCTCCACCCCTGAACCTTCCTGCTTCCCATCTGGACCACACCCTTAATTAACTCAATTTGCACCCCATTTCCTTAGCCCTTCAAGTCCAACGTGTATGCCTCCTCTTTAGCCCTTTTAGCCGCCATTCATTATACCATAGAGACATAGATCATGGTCCATCTTATAAAATAAATCACTGACATAAGACCAGATACGTTTTAAAAATATTGAAGATACATTATTTAAAAGTATATTATTTAATATATTATTAAATAATGTACCTTCAATATATATAATAAAAATATCATACCTTAATTTATATCAGTGGTCCACAGTACAATTTGCCTTTAGCCACAATCTGGGCCCCCTTGTGTGTTTCTT